AAGATTCCCTTAAGATCGTTCTTTAAGACTCCCCTAAGATCGTCCCTCAAGATTCCCTTAAAGTCTACTGTAGAGAGTTCCTTGTCGTATATTAGGACTAACTTCAGATCGTCTTTGACGTCAAAACGAAAGACTTAAGACACAAACCCCAAATAACAACAAGAATCGCCGCCCCTCAAAACACACAAACAACACACCTTAAAGCAAAACGCAATTATTAGCCAAAATCCAAATCATGAAATATTTTCAAAAAATAATGATAATGATAACAATAACAATAAAAACCAACAACTCGTGCCTGTTATTATTCATCCGTCCATAATTATGCAAATTAAAATAGCCGCCGTTACTGTCACAACCCCTATACCTGTTTACAACGCAAATAATTCTTGAGAAAAATCTATAGCATCTTCCGAAAACGACTGAATATTTCTATGGAATTCTTTTGCTTCTTTCCCTACGTCGCCGACGTTTAACCGCAAAAATGGTCTCTTATGTGTGCAAAATTTTGTAGATATTCGAGAGTGTTAAACAAAATAAAATTAAACTGGTTTTATATTTGAAAATTTGCTTTGGCTAAATCGATGTGTCACACAAGTGATATTTTTCGTGTCGAATTCGAATGATAGATACAAATATTTGCTCTGTTCCAGTACTTGCAAGAATCTACTAGTCTTGTAATTTCCTTTCGATATCATAAAGGGAAAATCGGTTATGGTAATAAACACTTTTACATTCTTGCAGTTCTGGAACAGAGCAATTATAAGCTGCGTGTAGTTAGAAGACCTTCTGTGGGTTTTGTCAATAGAAAGATTAAATAAAAGTATTAAGACTTCTAAGACAGAATAGGCCTTATTACATCGGTCGGATCTTACTTATATCAAAATAGTCCTAAACATCCTTCAAAATACATTTTCAAAAAGAATTGCTTCAAAAATATTTGAAGCCCCTTAACAGGTAAGAAGACCCCCCACAGCATCTCAATTCCAAAGAATGCCTTGCTTTTTTATTTATTATACCCTCCAGCATTATATGAAGGGTATATTAACTTTGTCATTCCGTTTGTAACTTCCCCAAATATTCATTATAGACCGTGCAGAGTAGATATATTCTGGATTAGTGTAAAATTCTAAGACGATCTAGCGACGTCCGCCTGCATGTCTGTCTGTTGTAATCACGCTATCTTTCGAAATAATTGAGATAGAAGGCTAAAATTTTGCATACATGCATAGTTTACTAGCAGGCAGGTTACGTTCGTAAATGGGTCATGTCGGTCCACGTTTTCGTATAGCCCCCATATAACGGTACCTCCCGATATTCGGTATTTTCATGATTTTAGCGACATTATTTATCAGAATTATTTCATATTTAAAGTTCGTAATGGTTACTACAGCACATGACAACATTTTTGTATGCAGGTCCAAGTCCTCGTATAGACCCCATATAACGGTACCTCCCTATATTCGGTATTTTGATGATTTCAGCAACATTATTCACCGGAATCGTTTCAAATTTCGTACTGGAAGATCCTAATGAGTACTACAACCTATGGCAAAAAAATTCGTATGCAGGTCCACGTCTTCGTATAGCCCCCATATAACGGTACCTCACGTTAGTCGGTATTTTGACGTTTTCAGCACCATTATTCATCGGAATCGTTTCAAATTTCGTATTAGAAGATCTTAATGGGTACTAAAACCTATGGTAAAAAATGTCGTATGCAGGTTCACGTCTTCGTATAGTCCCCATATAACGGTTTTCATTTAAGTGGTAGTTTTCGGAATTTTTTGAAAAATTTCAAGTTCCTTCCAAATGGTGGAGGTATTAAAAGTTCTACTTGTTTATATCAACATTTTGGGTTTCAAAGTTACCGATTTTTGTCGGTAACTCAAAAAATGAGTTAGAGAATTCCATCACAGAATAGTCCTAAACATCCTTCAAAATACATTTTCAAAAAGAATTGCTTCAAAAATATTTGAAGCCCCTTAACAGACAAGAAGACCTCCCACAGCATCTCAATTCCAAGAAATGCCTTGCTTTTCTTATTAGTTTTATTTTTTTTTACAAAATTCCCCCAGCCGAGGCTTCAGTTCATTAATTATCTTTTAGCGTTTGCACACTTCATTTGCAAAATGTACAGCGAAAGCGCTATGTCACCGCAGACACTTGACCCCCAACCATCCAGAATGTTTGCATTATCAGTTAACAACTATAAAATTAATGTGCTAAAATAAACAAAATCAAAATGAATCATTTCTGAGATTTGTATTTATTTTTTCGTCATATTTTTTCTTAATAATGCCAAGGTTTAGTTGTACTGTGGAATTTCGAAAAAAAGGTGTGTGTTTAACAGGCACCCATCTCCTTGCGCATCATGTTTAATCGTAACGATGATCAATGAGAAAATATTTACAACAACAAATGATGATGATATTCAGAAGATTTTTTTTTTTTGAAATGACATCGTACAAAATAAAAATGACACACAGACATACTGTTTAGGGAGTTGTTTAAAAATTAATAATATTTAAACAAACATATTCTGTAATTATTTTTTTTTTTTAATTTACCTGGAACAGAAAGTATAATGAAACATGTAAAAATAAGTAAGTTCGGCCGGGCCAATTAAAAATATAAAATAAAACTCGTTAAAAATGTTGCTAAAATCTTAAAAATCCGAATATAGCCACTATATTGGGTGCTATACGAAGACCTTCATAGGCAACTTTTGTCATAAGCTATTACAATATTCAAAAACAAAACATGAAAAAATTCGGTAAATAATGCAGCCAAAATCATCAAAAACCGAATATAGGTTCCGTATAGGTATCGAGGTACCGTCCTATCGGGGCTATGTGAGGACCTGAACCTGCATAGACAATTTTCTGTCACAGGCTGTAGGTCCTACAGGGTGAGATGAAAAAACTGCAACCAACTTCAGACTGCTGTCATTTCTAAGCCACTCGTCCGGCAGCTGTTAAAATTATTCTAGTGACAGCTCATTATATTGTTTACAAGCGTACAAAAGCATTTTGGTGAGAATTTTCCAGAAAAAAATTTATTCGTGATAGAATTCAACCGTGATAGTGTGATTTCTTTATATTTGGTTGGAAACCCACAAGTGGCTATCGTAAGACCCCGCCAGCATTTAAATGTGAATAAATCGTTTGTGTCTCGTACCATCGCTCGTTATCGTGATACCGACGTCAAGGAAGTGGACGGAAGAAAACAGCAACATCAGCAGAAATGGTTCGAATATTAAAGAAGCGATTTGATCGAAATTCGCATCGCAGTGGCCGAAAATGTGGCTCATGAGCTGAACATATCGCAATATTCGATTCGGCAAATATTGAAAAATGAGCTCGGGGTAAAGCCAATTAAATTCCAAAAAGTGCAAGAACTTACACCGCAAGGGAAAGAAAATAGACTCAAAAGAGCTAAACAGTTGCTTCGCTTCACCGAAAGTGGTGAACTGCCGAATTTGGTTTTCTCCGAACAGAAAACATTCGTTGTCCAGCAGTTTGTAAACAAACAAAATGATCGTGTTTATTTGCCAAAGAGGTCAGCTGAAAATGTGCACCTTCGGTTGGCCACCAGAACTCAAGCGCCGGCCATAGTGATGGTGTGGGCCGCCATAACAGCCGATGATCGCTCTACGCTCGTTTTAATCAGAATAAATGCCGAATATTATCGCGGACATATTCTGGAGGGTGTATTAAAGCCTTGGGCATGCAAACATTTTGGTCGCAGACCTTGGACATTCCGACAGGACTCAGCACCATCGTACTCAGCACGCGCCACCCAAGAATTGTTAGAAAATGAGGTTCCTCGCTTCATTTCCAGCACACAATGGCCACCAAAATCTCCGGATACCAATCCGTTGGACTATTGTGTCTGGAGTATTTTGGAAAGCAAGGTTGGCACATTAAAAATACCAAAGTGGCGATCACCTCAAGCAAGCGCTTCGCCGGGAATGGACCAAAATACCGCAGAGCAACATTCGGGCAGCGTGTGATGGATTCATGTCGTTTTGAAGGCCATAATTCGTGCCAAAGGTGACCAATTCGAACAAATCTAAACTTATTCTAAAATTTAATGCTATTTCCGACATTTTTTGAATTAATTCAATAATATTTAAAAAAAAAAAAATTAAAAATGCTGGCGTTTGACTTTGTTGCTGTCTTTTCTATCTCACCCTGTATTTTTCGGAACAGCTGTTTTCTTGCCAGATTTTTATCATCTTTTTCACCTTTTGAGACTAGAGCTATAATAGATTCAATTTCATTTTTTTTATTACATTACCCCTGAAAATTCGAATTTAAAAAAAAAATTCTTATCAAACTTATTAGCGGATTTTAAAAATAATATTTTACAAATATATTTTATTTATTAAACGACGATCCCACTATCCATTGGACCCACGGGTTTTCCTCAATTTGTTATTCGTAAACTCATGGCCGGTAATAAAATAAAATGCGAAAAAATAAACATAAATAATGTGGCAGAACCATCAACACATTGACAGCTAATAAATTATGAATAATTTCTGTGTAAATGTAAACGAAAGCCTTTAAACAAATTATGTACATGCTATAAATTTATAATTGTTGCAATAAAAGTATTTTTTCTTTTCTTTCTTCGCTGATTCTGATTTTTATTGGCTCTTTGTATGAAAACGAAATAAAGAACAGATCCTTATATTTTCGAAACTTCCCTTTCTTTGTGCGACAATTTGTACATCACTCTCGATTTTATGCGAGTGTTTGTATCTGTTGCCAACTTATATAACATTTATTTGCCTCAACATTCCGCATACAAATTACCACAAAATAAATTCTGCCCAACAAACAAAAATCCAATCATAAAAAGTGAATCACAAAGAATATCCGTCCACATTTTGGTTTTGCCAAATTTCTTAATTTCAAATTTCCAGCACATTTTTTTCTCAAAATAATTTTTTGTTTATTTATTTGTTTTTTTTTTTTTTTCTTTTATTTTAGATGTCTTATTTGTATTCCCATTTTGCCCAATTGGTGAGCGTGCACTGTAAAACAACAGCAGCAACGTCAAACACACCGGTCAATCAATGCAAACATGATTTGTTGAATTATGGCTATGAGAAATTACAAACGTTTGCGGATAACCAACTGGAGGCAATGGATCCCTATCAACGGAATTCGGAAAATTTAAGTAAGTATATTTTTACAATTATTAATATAAGTTGTTATTATGATAGTAAACTTAAAAGACTTAAGCAGGACTCCTATCCTTCATTAGTCATTTACAAGGCGGCGAATGATGCCCTCGTTTAAAATTTTTTTCTAAAAAAATTGGCCGAGTAAATGAAGAATGATATGAAGAATATAACCTAAAAAATAATAAAACCAAAAATATTTGACTCATAAGTCATGTAAGACGTCATGTATGCAATGGTTAAATTTTGCTTAAGCTGCAGTTAGGACAAATATGAAAATTGACAATATCGCGCCTTGTTTAACTATAAAACTGGTTGAAGATTGCCATCATGCATTTTCAGTCGAATTGGAATTAAATTAGTTACAGAAAATTTTCAGCGTAAAGGTGTAAGCATGGTACAATTAAGGAGGTAGAACAATTTCGTAAATACAGTCCTCAGGCCATGCCCGAATTATTCAATTATTTGGAATTATTCAAAATTATATCTAACAAATTGTTTTCATTTATTTAGTATTTTTTGTTTATTTCTAAATTGAGTTAAATAGGGCGAAAGATAAATGAAATGCCTGGATGTTCTCTCAAAAATATGACACTTAGGTATTCAATCTTTCAATTCCATGGCAGATCTGGTTAATATTATTAATGCTCGCCCCGCAATTTAATTTTCTTTCAATCATTGATTTTGAAAATGTTTTGTTTTTATTTTTCAAAACAACAAATACGTACACAAAATTGGCAGATGTCAGGCACACTTAGAAAAAAAATGTAATCAGCTGAAAGCTCTACCTGAACCTTTAAGGTCCAAGTACATAAAAAGCTTGAAGTCATGGCTTGGCATATTAATATCAAATTATACCGGGGAAACGACGGCAGAATTTTAGTGGGGCTCTGTAATCCCTTTATAAAATGTGAAGATTTTGACATCACTTTTCAGCTGATTTTCTGGGGTTTTGATCTAAAAACACAACTTTTACAAAAAACGTAATTCATGGACTACACAAGAACTAACAGCATCGAGAAAATTTCCTTAAAATTAAGCATAAAAAATCTCAATTTTTATATGTTTGGGCTTAAAAAATATAAATAAAACAAGAAAAAAGCAGCTAAGTTCGGCCGGGCCAATTTTTTTATACCCTCCACCATGCGAAAGGAACTTGATTTAAAAAAATCCGTTCAAATGAAAACCTTAATATGGTGCTATACGAAGACGTTGTGTTGGATAAGTAATTTTTTTGTCTTTGACTGTAATAGTACGATTCCGAACTTCAAATACAATATTCGAAACAATTCCGGTGAAAAATGTCATACGAAATTTGACGCAATTCCGGTGAATAATGTCGCGAAAAATACTGGAAATACCGAATATCTTGGATAGCGATATATGATTGCTATACTAAAATGAAGACCTATATAGACAATTCCAGGGGGGTAAAGTACTCAGAGAGAACTCCTTGTGTGGATTTTCAGACTATTACATTGAAAAATGTGACTAAAAGCATCAAAATACCGAATGTCGGGAGGTGGGATATACGATATCGTGGACCTAGATAGACAATTCTCTTTCAGGGGGTAAAGTACTCCTTGTGTGGATTTTAAGACAATTCCATTGAAAAATCTGGCTAAAATCACCAAAATACCCAATATGGGGTGCACCATTGTATGGGAGCTATACGATATCGTGGACCTATATAGACAATTCTCTTTCAGGCGGTGAAGTATTCGCAGAGAATAGAATTTTAGATAGTTTCATTAAAAATGTGGCTAAAATCAAAATATCGAATATCGGGAGGTACAATTATATGGGACCTATATAGGCAATTCTTTTTCAGGGAGTAAAGTAGTTAAGAAGAACTCCTTGTGGAGAATTTCATACAATTCGATTGAAATATGTGGCTAAAATCATCAAAATACCGAATATCGGTGCTACTATTATATGAGAGCCACACGATATCGTGGACCGATATAGCTCATCTTCGAACTTGACCTGCCTGCAAACAAAATACAGATCGGTGCAAAATTTTAGCTTTCTACATTTATTCGTTTTGACTCTAGCGTGACTACAACAGACGGTCAGACTGACGGACGGAAAGGTCAAAATCGTCTTAGAATTTTACGCTGATCAAGAATATATATACTTTGTTGGATCTAAAATTATAATTTCGGAATGACGAACTTAACATACCACCCATACTATGTATGGTGGTGGGTATAAAAATATGGAAAATATAGCGGTTTTTATGTGCCTAGAAACTAGCCGAAAAAGAGGATTAATTATTATTTTTGTAAAATATACCACTCGTCATACGAAAATATTTTAGGTTAGAAAATAATTTTTATATGAAAAATGGTGTAGTTTGTTGTAACACGGTTGCCATATTCGATTAACAAATGAGTCTCTCTCTCTCATTTTGCCATAGTTAAACCCATGGTAGAAAAATTCAGGTAGATGCATCAACGCTTGGGAACATTGTCATATGTCAAAATTGTTCGAATGTTTTTTTTTTCTAAGCGGAGCTTGTTATGATATGCATTTTTTCAAAAATTTCTACAAATTTCGTTAATTTTTTATTCAAAATCTTCATTTCCGTAATTGGTTTGACATTTCATGGTCCCAGCAGCTGTGTCGATGGGACTACCTGTATTCTTCTGCAGTGGTTAATGGCACTGCTACCAATAGATTTTATTTTTTATTTTCTTGGGTTACCACATCAACCATGGTAAAGGAATACATCAACGCTTGGGAAAATTGATATGTCAAAATTTTTTAAATGTTTTTTTTTTTTAAGTAACTAAATTTTTATAAGTTTTCTTATACAACACCAATCTGAGTTTGTTATGACATTCACTTTTTCCAAAATTTTTACAAATTTCCATAATTTTTCATTAAAAATCTTCATTTCCAAAATTGATTTGACAGTTCGGTTTACGAAGATTAGTCATTCGCATGATAGAAAATACACTTGTAAACATTATGGTATCAAAAATATTTAGAAAAGTAAATTGATTTTTAAATATTTTCTTTTATGGTGCCGTTCAGAGGTTATCATAACAATACGTTTATACTTTCCAAATCCAATGGAACCCCATTGTATATACATCAAATGAATTCGTTCTGTATGCACCAAATCCAGTGCATTTCATAAGATATTTTCACAACAATTTACTGACACACACCTGACACAATCTGAAATAATTGTTTTTCTTTTTCACGTTTTTCAGTTTGGACTTCAATTATGCGTGATCACCCCAGCTCCCAATTGATTACCACACGCAAACCGGCATTGGCCACACCTCCGGCAACAAGTATTATCATTCTTACCCATCAACAACCGAGTACTCCAAAATCTAATCCCATAGATGCCACAACAACAACAACAGAAACACAATATCCACACAATCCCATGTTTGATAGCAGCGAACAAAAACACCAATATGCCATGGATATGGACATTGCCTATGGTTATCCCAGTATGGCCCATAATCCGCAGGTTGATGTCTTCGATGTGGGCAGTGTTCAGAAAACCTACCTAACTGGACCCTCTGTGGTGCGTGTCAAGCCCGATGGTACACCCGTCGAAGAGGACAAGAATAAACCAGTGGTCAAGGATGACGATTTGGAACACTATGTCAATACTGGACTCTTTGGAAGTGATAATACCAAGCCGGTGGCACACACACACACTCCCACAGCCACAACATCATCCAATGGCAAACATAGAAAAATTGCCACCATTAATGCCCTGAAACAACAATATTTGACGAATCTGGCAATACAGCAACAACAGCTATTGCCACCCTATGAACATTCCCGCAATCCACGTCAGGCATATTGAGGGGACGTTTTTCTTATAATGTCACTAATTTGCAGGAACGTTTTTGGAAGACATTGAATAATTTCGAAAGTGTTTTACTTTTCAGTGCGGAAATGACGATCTTCCGATCATTTCATTAGCCTTAGCTTTATATATTTGTATTTATTTTTATATAAAAAAAAACAAACAAACAAAAATAGTAATTTAAGTGCATTTTTTTCTCAGTGTGATTGTCAAAAACTAATAAGAGTGAATGTTGTACATTCCAGATTATCGATTTTTTTTATGTATGTGTAAATGTGTAGAGAACAATGAATGAATGAATGTGTCTCCGAAATCTCTTTCTTTCTTTCTTTCATATAATTATTCTTCTTTCAATATCTTCCTTCAATTTTAAGAACATTTTTTTTTTATTTTATATGCATGCATACAACTCATGGAACGATTTACATACATTTTATATAAATAATATTTGTATTAATTATTTAATAGATATATTTTTGTAATGTGTCATTTATTTACTCTTCTATCCTCTGTTCTGTATCATTTATTTTATTTGTATTCTACGTTTTTTTTGGACATATAATATATATTTTTTAATTATTTATTGAGTGCTTTAGTTATAGGTTATATATAATTTTTGTAATATAAATTGACCAACAAAATAAAATTAAAAAAAAAATTGTTTAAAATTTTCTTATAGCATTAAAATATTTCTACATAGGGAGTTTTTGGAACTCTTTCAGGAACAATTGGACATTAGGTACGTTTTTTTCTTTTGAACAGGATTAATTTACTTTATCAAAGATGTTACACTAAATATTCGTCGTAGACCCCATAAAGTATACAGGGTGAGATGAAAAAACTGCAACCAAATTCAGACTGCTGTCATTTCTAAGCCACTCGTCCGGCTCCTGTTAAAATTATTCCAGTGACAGCTCATTATATTGTTTACAAGCGTACAAAAGCATTTTGGTGAGAATTTTCCAGAAAAGCAAGTTATTCGTGATGGAATTCGAGCGTGATAGTGTGATTTCTTTATATTTGCCTGGAAAACCACAACTGGCTATCGTTAGAGCATTTCCATTTCGTCCAGCATTTAAATGTAAATAAATCTTTTGTGTCTCGTACCATCGCTTGTTGCAGTGATACTGGTAGCCTAGCTCGACGTCAAGGAAGTGGTCGGAAGAAAACAGCAACATCAGCAGAAATGGTTCGAAAAGTAAAGAAGCGACTCGTGAGCTGAACATATCACAATATTCCATTCAGCAAATATTGAAAAATGAGCTCGGAGTAAATCCATTAAAATTCCAAAACGTGCAAGAACTTTCACCGCAACTGAAAGAAAATAGACTCAAAAAAGCTAAAGATTTGCTTCGCTTGACCGAAAGTGGTGAACTGCCGAATTTGGTTTTCTCCGATGAGAAAACATTCGTTGCCCAGCAGTTTGTAAACAAACAAAATGATCGTGTTTAATTTCCAAAGAGATCAGCTGAAAATGTGCACCTTCGCTTGGCCACCAGAACTCAAGCACCAGCTATGGTGATGGTGTGGGCCGCCTAACAACCGATGGTCGCTCTTCGCTCGTATTAATCGACCGTGGCATCAGAATAAATGCCGAATACTATTGCGAAAATATTCTAGAGGGTGTATTAAAGCCTTGGGTACGCAAACATTTTGGCCGCAGACCTTTGACATTCCAACAGGACTCAGCACCATCGCACTCAGCACGCCCCACCCAAGAATGGTTACAAAATGAGGTTTCTTATTTCCAGCGCACAATGGCAACCACAATCTTCGGATACCTATCCGTTGGACTATTTTGGAAAGCAAGGTTGGCTCTAAAAAATTCCAAATTGTCGATCACCTCAAACAAGCGCTTCGCCGGGAATGGGCCAAAATACCGCAGAGCAACATTCGGGCAGCGTGTGACGATTTCATTGGGCGTTTGAAGACCATAACTCGTGTCAAAGGTGACCAATTCGAACAAATCTAAACTTATTCTAAAATTTGATTCTATTTTCGACATTTTTTGCTTCCATTCAATAAAATTTAAAAAATGTAAAACTTATGGCGATGCAGACCACATTATTTGATGTAGAGCTTCAAAATTTGGCACAAACAATTTGTATTGTGTGTTGGTGTGGAAAATGAGATATATCGGTCCACGTTTTGGTATAGCCGCCACATAACGGTACCTCCCGATACTTGGTATTTTGACGAGCTTATTGTTTTTTTTTTTTTTTTTTGTAATCTATAAAAGTACAAATTGTATTAATAAATTTGTAATTCACTATATTAGGTGTAACGCAAAGTAAATAAAAGGTATAGATTGTATCAGAATCGAATATGTTTGAGATAAAGGATAATGTATACATATTATTATTTTTATAAAATATCTAGAAACTATTTTTGATTTTATATTTTCAAAAAACCTACCATATACATACCGGACAGATAGTCTTCCTTGCCGTCTAGAATTTTTCACAGCCAATAAATGCAGACAAAATTTGACATCGAACAGAGCAATCAAGAGATGTACAAAAAATGTTGAATTGTCATTTATTCGTCAAATAAATAACGAATTATTTTAATAGGCGTAATTTAAGTATTGGTATGTGGGTATTTTTTGTGACTTCTCGTGACAAATGTCATTTCTTTCCTGTGAATATTTTACTTTGAAATACATTGTAAATACCGCTTAGGTATTTATTCGACTGAAAAATTTAATTATTGAGCATACTTTTAGGCGGACAATTTTTTTGAAGATTATTAAAGCTGTTATTTTTAAATTCCAAGCATAATGGGAATAGCTCCATGTTATGTAATGGTTTCTTCCGATTCATCAGCCCGTTGTTAGATGTTGCGCTTTTTATACCCTCCACCATAGTATGCAGGGTATATTAAGTTTGTCATTCCGTTTGTGACACCTCGAAATATACATGTTAGACCCCACAAAATATATATATTCTTGATCAGCATAAAATTCTATGTCGATTTAGCGATGACCGTTCGTCTGTCCGTCTGTGGAAATAACCCTAGCTTTAGAACGAATTAAAGTAGGTTGAAAAAATTTTACTCAAATGTATATTATGTCTGCAGGACTTTTAGTATTGAATATGGGTCATGCAGGTCCACGTTTTGGTATAGCCCCCTATATGGTACATTATTCTCCGGAATTGTTTCAAATTGGTATTTGAAGTTCGCAACGGATACTACAGCCTATGACAGATTATTGTATGTACATGCCCACGTCTTCGTATATCGCCCATATCCCGATATTAGGTATTTTGATGATTTTAGCGATATTATTTACCGGAATTGTTTCAAAATTGGTATTTGAAGATCGTAATGAATACTACAGCCTATGATAGAAAATGGTCTGTGCAGGTCCACGTCTTTGTATAGCCCTCAGATAACGGTACCTTCCTATATTCGGTTTTTTTATGATTTTAGCGACATTATTCACCGATTTATTTCAAGTTTAGCATTTGAATATTATAACAAAAGTTTCCTATGCAGGTCCACGTTGTCGTATAGACCCTAATATAACGGCTACATTCGGTATTTTTAAGATTTTAGCAAATATGTTAACTTTTTTGTGAAATTCGTTCCAAATGGTGGAGGGTATTCAAAGTTCGGCCCGGCCGAACCTACAGCTTTTTTAATTGCAAAAAAAAAAATTAAATTTATAAGTTTGAAAAACTTTTGTAACCAGAACTTCATCATTTTGTATCCTCCAACTTGGAAACAAGACTCTCAATCATTTAAATTTTAGTACAGATTAATGAAAAGTATGTATGTATTTCTCAAATTGTGTGGACAAAACATGTTCGTTACTCTTTTTGAAGGTGAAAAGAGGAAAATTTTGTACGTTTGATAGTATTTTTGTAATTTATAGACTCAAAAACTGCTGAACAGATTTTCTTGAAAATTTCCAAATATACTAAAGCATAGCCTGAAAGTAACATAGCTATGGAGATATAGCATCAGAATCGGAGGTAACTCCAAAAAATTTAGTTTTTGTGTGCACATGTCTATTGGTCGATTACAGATATAGTCTTTAAATTTGGAGTGCGTAACGGAATTTGGAGCAAAAATAATTTATATATTTATATATATAGGATATATCTCCCATAAATATTTCGGCCGATTTTATGTATTTTATGCACCAAACACGATATGTATGTCCGATTCCAATGAAATTTGGAATAAGTGGCGGAATTGAGTACAAAATTGCCAAATAATATTCCAATCGGTTCAGATTTTTGCCATCTTTGCAAAATTGACGAGAGTACTAGAGCAAAGATTTTGTACAGGGTTGTCCATATTCGACGGACCCATCTGGCAACGCCATAACTTTTGACAGAGATGTCACATCGCTTAATGACATACCGCTTTTGAAGCGTCAGTCCAAGCAGATTTTTACCATGAACCAATACACGAACCAATGCAATCATATGGTTACAGTTTATTTTTTTTTTTCAATATTATTCATTTGACTACATCTCATTGTCAAAGTGATTTTGACAGACATGCATTTCAATTCAAAAAATAACGTCAATTTTGAATTTGAAAGTATGAAAATATATCTGTTAAAGCAAAGTGATTCTCGTGGGAATGATTATTTTTCATTGTTCCAAAATCAGAAGAAGACAGTGAATGATGGTCCCAAGCATGTGGTTCATATATTACATGATATATGATGATTCAAAATATTGAGCCTTTGTGGGGGAAGAATCACACCACTTGCATTGTTATTCAAAACGATTACCAGTGGGGAGGATAATAGAAGGAGTGGTCCGTTCTTCGAATAACGAAAAACGATTTATATGTCCGACATCATTTTTTATTTATTTTATCGGAAAGATGTAATAACCGCCCTTATTGTTTTGTTTTGAAAAAAATAAATAAAAGTACCTAACTCTCTCAGACAGAAGTTGCAGGACAATTCCTTCAGGAAAATTAAAACAATTACGAAAACAAAAACTATTTTACAAAGTTACCAACCCCAACAAAAGTTACCAATTCTACCATCTGTGCAGACAACAGAGTGGAACTATTTTATCGATGTCGGCGGCTTATTAGAACGGCGTATTGGCCGACGGCGCGCCGCCGTTTTACAATCGACTTGTCTCCTCAGCAACTGTGGCAGTCAACTTCATGTTCAGTCAATCAAAAAAACACAAGTCGGAAGAAACAATATAATAAACGCTGCAATACAAGAAATAGAGTGTAATATATTGAATATTGATTGTGCTACAACTTAAATAGCAAGCTGATGAAATTCAAATAAAAATTACAAAATCGAAAGCAATATATTGTTGTGTGAAAGAAATAAAACATTAAAAAAACTAAGAACTGAAAAAGCAAGAAAAGTATAAACTAAACTTGTAAGTTAACAAATACAACAACCACGACTAAACAAAAAAGCCGGTTAGTGTTATATATTGACTATACCCACATATATACAATTTCTATATACCAAAGGGAACCATACACATATATTTACGTGAGTATGTTGAAGCAAGCTTTAAGAAAAGGGAGATTTTCTTTAATGTTTGAATAAATATTCATATTTGGAATCAATGGAAAATTTGTTTTATTAGCGAGGTTTGCG